TGCACTGGAAACAATAGGCATGTAAATAAAAACAGAGAGTGTAAATGTTATCTGTAATTTGGACCAGTTCTACTTCCATGATATGCCTGACAAGTGTTTTTTATGTATCCATTAAATTCATGACATAATTGATAAGTGTCCATTTCTAAAAATGGTACACATACTATAGAGAAAAAAACATACGGAAAAATGGCAGTATTAGCAATATAAGCTGTAGCAACTGTTTTGAGGACTAGAACTTTAAGCCTTTTATTGATCCTTCCTCTTCCTCTCCTTTGTTCATCGGAGTACAATCAAACTGCAGTGTTTTTCACAGCTGTTGAGACAATTTTGGGGACCACCTTTCAGGATCAGATCACCACCCATAACGTCATTAAAAGATAAGCACATTAATGGCCTACGTTGTATCATGGCCATCACAAAACAAGTGACTGGAACTTGAACAATCAACTTAAGCACTTTATATTCACCTCCCTTTGCATACATAAAATTATCTAACTAGTGACAAATGTTTCTCCCATCCCTGGTGAAAATAAAAGCATTCCTTACATTTTACAAGCTCCTAAGATAACATCACACATTATATCAGAGAGTAAGGGAGAGAAAAAGTTATAGAAAGAATAACGTATCAACTTGACCATCTTCAAAGAGAAACTGTCTGTCAAACCAGTCACCACCATGAAGTGCTTCCACTTTCATTCAAGCATTACTGAGTAAAACAATTCTAAAACTGACAAATTTCAAAGCAGAAAGGACTCCGGAACCCACTGTCACAGAAGGTATTTTGCCGTTGGGGATCCTGCAAAGTGATTGTCAGGTAGGCACAAGTCAAGCATGAACCTGTTCTTTCACTCCCAAAGGGGTTTTGTTCTGTTAAATATAAGCATAGAAATCTGTAATGACCCATTTTAATCCTTTCTCTCACCAAAAGCCATATGCATGTTGTTAAACATTTACTTTGTCAACCTGAGAAAGGAAACGAGCTTCATACTACTACAAATATATCATTTAGAAAGCTAAAGACCCATAAAACAATTTAATTAGCAAAAAGCTTAACAACAACTTGATTTTAAGCTTCATTCTGCCACAGACAGAAACAGAATAGAAAACCAAATAATTCTCACTATACAGTTTAGGGCTGTGTGTTCTTCCCTTAAGATCCCTTTCACAACTGAATAACACCATGTTTCCCTTTACACAGGGGATACTACATCTTGTGATGTAACGTAGTAACCAATACTACATCTTGTGATAAATATTACACATTCTGCTCTGCTATCACTGCTGCAGCTTCAGGATTCAGGAAGCTTTCAGGAAGTAAAAAAACTTCTGTAGCAGACTTACCTCCTTGGGGATAATGAGATGGCAAAAGACTGAAATTAATCTTATCCTTCAGGTCATCATCATTCTCTTTCTCCCACTGCAAGCCTATCTTTTCCCAATAACTCGAAGTCAGTTCCCTAGAACAGAACAACAATTTTCATACCATCTTGCTCCAAAGAAGAAAACATCTTAAAATGAGGCTTACGGGAAAATATGAATTTCTCTGTTCAGCTGGATGAATAGAAAGTGTTCCTGCCATTTAATTTGGACACATTAAATTAAATGTTTATGCTTCTTATGGACTCAGTGGACAAAGATGTCCTCTTAAGGATAATTCAGAGCCTTTATGTTAGAAAACTCTCTCCACAGAGTATCAAAGATGCTGGAAAAAAGTCAACAACACGACTACACCCACATAAAAATATCTGCTTTAGTTAGACTTGTATAAAAAAATCATAGTAGCTAGAAATGATTTAAAATGAATAAGTTTTTTTATAAACACAACTAACTGAAATTAAAATCAACTCATTTTCTTTTAAAATTGTAACTTCATTTGAATGCTATATTCAATATAAAGAAAACAAACAAACTAAAACAAAACAGAAACAAAACACCCCATGCACAAACTTCTTTTCCCAACAATGTACCTTTGAGAAACCACAGAAATACTTCCATGCAAGACAGCTACATACATGAGGATGGAGGGTGTGGGAACTGGGGGAAAGGATAAAAAGCTTCCTCCTTACATGTTTTCAGGAATTTCATCAGCAAAGCCACTAAGTAACAAAGGGATCAATTTGTGAAAAAAAGAATATCTATCTCGCAGATGCAACAACCATTCTCCAATCACAGTTATCACAGCTTGACGAACCTATGAAAGAAGAGGGATCATTATAAATATTTTACAAAAATACCAGATTATTTATTGCACAAGAACACAACATCAAGAGCAAGAAAAGATAAAGAGCTAACCCAGAACACCTTAAATTCTGACAGTTGAGATCTCTGTGAGTATGAGTAGTTTCTCAGTATATGCATGTAAAATATGTCTCCAGAAGACAATAGTCTGATTTACTACAAAAGAAGTTAATGTTAAATAATGTGAATATTTCTACACCAGAAATAGTTCTGTTAAATAGGGCATTTTGAAAATTTTCTATTGCAATTATGAATGGGCCAATACCATTAATGTTTGTCAATAATCCAGAAAACCTACAGTTTCAGGCAAATCAGGTAGGTGGATTTGGACAGAATTGTCAGGACTCAAAATAACTGGGAAAGCCAAGTTCAACTCTCTGCAGGATTAGGCAGAGCTGAACAGGCCATCCACTTTGCTTTGGGATAGTTTAGAACTGCCTAAGTCTGTATGGGTCATATTTACATATCTCAAATGAATGGAAATAAAAAGCTGAAAATTCTAAACAAGTCAAGAAAAAGTAAGAAACCTGCACCTTAGGAATCTCGTCAAAGAATCGCTGGGCCAGATGCGACAGAACATCATCCACAGACTTCCCATTTCCAAACTGCACCACCGCGCCCGTAGCCTGGATTACATCAACACGGACTCTGTAGTGCTGGTGCGAGATTGTTTGCATCAGGGGCTTTATCAGGGATTCTGCCTGCATGTGGAAGTGCTCTGTATGGGCAGATGGATGGAGAGAGAAAAACATCAAGTATGTCTTCCTCTGTACGTGGGTAACAGCCTTTGAGCAACGTAATTTGCAAAACACCACGCGGAACAAACAGGTTAATGTCACCGCTTTTACAGAACATGCAGGTTTAACTTTATGCTCCATAAAAGCAGCAAACCAACCCATGGGCACTTTCCCACAGTCACCCATGTGCTTTCCGTTGTGGACGCCATCCCTCGGCGGCCTTCCCATGCACGATTCTTTTATGGATCCTCCAAGGCCCGCAAAGCTCACGTGGAAGGTGCAGGTGGCTGCTCTATCTCTTCCCCTTCGGCTGCACCTTCCAAGCTCTTCCGAGCTCTTCCCCCTGCCCCTCCGAGGGCCCCAGCTCCCGTGCCTGCTCCGTACCTGGCATGGCCTGCGCGCAGGCCACGACGCACGCGCAGCTTTCGCGCCTGACCTCGGCGTAGTCGTCGAGCAGGGTGGCCTGGAGGATGCGGACCACGTCGCTGAGGTAGGGGGCCATGGCGGCGCCGCAGCGGCGCAGCAGCAGCCCCAGCAGCTGCAGCAGGCCGAGGCGCAGCTCCTCGCAGGGCTCCCAGCTGCGCGCCGGGCTGAGGCGCTGCGCCAGCGCCGGCAGCACGACGGGCAGCGCCTCGGCGGGCCGCTCGGCCTGGCCGAGCCCGTGGCGGAGCAGCTGCAGGGCCAGCTCGCGGCCGCGCTCCGCC